GTGATTTTTTGAAAATTTGCCTCAATAAGGGTTAATGCATTATGTGGGAAACTTGAATAAATTGCTTTAATTAACATTATACGATATAAAACTATAAATGCTAGAAAAATTAACTAATAGTGGAAGCCGATTACTAATAGAACATATGTGAATGCCTATCATTATCTATTGTTTGGTAACCCAAAGGTGAACTAAAAATGTTGACATTAACATTTTGCCTTTGTTTAATTTTAAATTCAATAGTAAGGGTGATTGAAGTTGTGATAATTATAAACTTTGTTGTTTTTGTTTAGTGAAGGTCAATTTTTAAACAATTACCATATACTTACCTAAAACATGGAGACTTTTTTTATGTTTCACCCAGTTTGATCATTCAACATTCAAGGTTTTTACTTATGTTTAGACAGCATTCAAAAGATTGTATAAGAATTCTGGGAGAGAGAAAGAAACTCTCAGATTTTTCTGGGAGAAACTAAATCGAAGGAATGTGACAGCTGATGTTAAACACTATGAGGGTTGTGAGCAGCTGTTCCTCAGTGTTGGTAGGTGTTTAGTGATTGAAGCCCTTTTGGAATTTTTCCAAATGGCTGATGCAAAGCACAAACCAACTGCAAACAAACCTCATAGTGTTTACATTCTCAACGAGGAATATCAGAAGACGTATGTCCACAATATTCTAGATGCATTTCTGGAGTTTGTGTTTATCCCTGATGGCAATATAAACTCATCTGATTCGTCCGATTCATCTGATGGCATTTGGTGCTATGGTGCCAACATCTTAAGCACATTCCTTCTACTGGCTGACATGAAAGATGCGGTTGCTGCAGGAAATGGTGACCACCTTTTAATTATTAGAAAGCAGCTTTTGATCCATTTCTTTGCTACTTCTGGATTTAAATCAGTTCGCCATTGAAATGCTCATTAACATTCTACAATGTGAAGTACTCTTGTCAAAAGCCGATGCTCACCATTGTAAATGGGCTACAACAGTCAACTGGAGAGGTGGTGTTGGTAAAAACATAAAGATGGACCTGTTTCAGGAGAACAGAAATGCTGAAATGAAAAAACTGGTCAAGTCCATGGGTGCAAACAAAACAGATAAGGCAATCACAAGAGCCAGTAAAGCGACAGGGGAAGTTACCAAGATCGTAGAGACATTCAAGGAACAAGTGAGCATCCATCCAAAGTCTGCGCGCATTCTCATAAATCATCAGCTGATGATTAGAAGGTAATAAGCCATGATTTGAGAAGCTTAAGGCCTTTTAGGAAGGATGGTCGGTCATTTGAATCATTTGCTGAAATATTGCACTACCCAACAGATTCATTTGATGACAAAAAGTTCAATGAATGGCTCGAGAAGCACAAGAACATTTTAATGCACTACCCACTAGCAACTGATTCAGAACCACCAGTTGATACTCATTCAGAACATTCAGTTGAAAATGAGTGATCATAATGTGCATCTCTTTGACAATTTCTGCATTCCTACATGTAGGCTTCAGTTTTCAAATCCAATGAAAGTAACAAAAGTTACAAAACATTCTAAAATCAGTTTTTAGAAGGAGTGAGAATGGTCCACAAATGGCAGTTCTCTCATCTTGACAAGTAAATCATCTGTGCTTTGAGAATACTGGGATGTGTTTCATTGGCCATTTCAATGATGACACACCCCAATATACAATCAAATTGCACTAGACAAATTCCTATATGCCACTCTATTAAGCCTTCCACATGGTTTATTAGACAAGAGCTTCAAGGAGGGGCTTAATTGCTGCGGAGCGAGCGAGCGAGCCTTAGGCGAGCGAGCGTAGCAGCATCCTAATTTGTGCAGTAGGTAGTAAAAAGCAGATTTTTAGGCTCGAGAGGCATTGTGGTTGTGCGCAGTTGTATGCGCAATAGTTCATAAATTCATCTAACTTAACTACATGTGGTCTTGCTGTATTTTTACTGTAATTTGTTTTACTATTAGTTTAATGTTTGCGCATCTATCCGCGCTATATGATACATCTGATAGACTTTGAACGTGAAGTGCTTTTGAAATATATCATTTATCAGGTTTTGCTTGCTTTGATTTGTAAACTATTAAAGGCCACACTTTAGTGTGCCACAGTTTAGTGTTTTTAAAGATAATCTAGGTTTATCGATATTTGGTGTAGAAAGACAAGGCAAGCTTTTTAACTCCGCTCGACGGCACCAAAGCAAATAGTGATCATACACAATTTCGACCTGATTCTGTTTAGCATTTCATTCGCCTTTGTTTTCAATACTGTAAGTGAAGGGTTGGCAATTGCTTGTTGTTTGGCCTGATTTATTTATACTGTAATTATTTTAACCCACTATAAGCCATTAATATTCGCGTATTAGCCTATTAACATTTGCGCATTGACAGTGTATAATCTGCTTATTGTGCTGCTAGCGTGCGATTTCAATCAGTATATCAGGCATATTACGTTTATAAGATTTTGCTTCCTTTGAATTGTCACTTGTAAACTATTTTAACTTGGCATAAGGTTTAGTAAGGATCTAAGCCCTACGAAGGCCATGCTTTAGTGTTTAATTTAATTTAAAATCTACATTTTTGTTTACAAATTCATCATCCTGAGATCTAGCATACTGTATTTACGAAATAATAGTATTGTTTTGAGGTTGTTTGGGGCGTATTCATACAGTGCCTTTTGTTAGTGTTTACAAACCCTTTGACCGCTTTGAAGTTGTTTTTGGCGTATTTTAATACCGACCAACATATTTTGGTCCGCTTTGAAGTTGTTTTTGGCGTATTAATACCGACCAACATATTTTGGTGTGTTCGCACGCCTCGTTACAAGGTATCAATTTACAAAGGGTGATAATAACAAGAAAGCAGATTTTTGTGGTTGTGCGCAGTTGTATGCGCAATAGTTCATAAATTCATCTAACTTAACTACACATGGTCTTGCTGTATAAAATTGTTTTGACATCGAGGAATAGTTGAAAGATCGGTTGCAGCAAAACGTCAACAAAATAAGAAGGTACAAGAATTCAACCTATATTCTGTTTACCATTGCTATTGTTTTCACGAATTTTTACTGTAATTTGTTTTACTATTAATTTAATGTTTGCGCATCTATCCGCGTTTTATGATACATCTGATAGACTTTGAACGTGAAGCGCCTTTGAAATATAACAGTTTAGTGTGCCACAGTTTAGTGTTTTTAAAGATAATGTAGGTTTATCGATATTTGGTGTAGAAAGACAAGGCAAGCTTTTTAACTCCGCTTGACGGCACCAAAACAAATAGTGATCATACACAATTTCGACCTGATTCTGTTTAGCATTTCATTCGCCTTTGTTTTCAATACTGTAAGTGAAGGGTTGGCAATTGCTTGTTGTTTGGCCTGATTTATTTATACTGTAATTATTTTAACCCACTATAAGCTATTAATATTCGCGTATTAGTCTATTAACATTTGCGCATTGACAGTGTATAATCTGCTTATTGTGCTGCTAATGTGCGACTTCAATCAGTATATGAGGCATATTACGTTTATCAGATTTTGTTTCCTTTGAATTGTCACTTGTAAACTATTTTAACTCGGCGTAAGGTTTAGTAAGGATCTAAGCCCTACGAAGGCCCATGTTTTAGTGTTTAATTTAATTTAAAATCTACATTTTTGTTTACAAATTCATCATCCTGAGATCTAGCATACTGTATTTACGAAATAATAGTATTGTTTTGAGGTTGTTTGGGGCGTATTCATACAGTGCCTTTTGTTAGTGTTTACAAACCCTTTGACCGCTTTGAAGTTGTTTTTGGCGTATTTTAATACCGACCAACATATTTTGGTGTGTTTGCACACCTCGTGTTTTGGTGTGTTTGCACGCCTCGTGTTTAGGTGTGTTCGCACGCCTCGTTTTCACCAACAATATTGTGATGAATTTATATTGGTTGATCTTTATACTAAACTGTTCCATATCTTAGAGTGGCACGTGATTGATTTCGTAGTACATTTAGTAGTGCATTTTTGCCATGGCTTGTCCATTCTCATTCAGTCCAGTTGATCAAAATGCTCAAAGATTTATGTGCTCTTTAACAAATTTACCACTGATTTTGCCTTGTACAACAAAGATTCCCAAAATGTTAACCGAACCAGCCAAACTGTATCGAATTGTAGGTGATGGGAACTGTTTATTTCAAGCACTTTCATATGTTATTACTGGGTGACAAGTCTACCACTCTCTTGTAAGACATAAAATATTAAATCATATGACAACTATTGAAAACCAATTGCTTCCACATATGAACATGTCTTTAAGTGAATATATTCAATCAACTGGCAAGGCCCAGGAAAGAGTGTGGGGAACTGACATTGAAATATTTGCTGCTGCTTCTTTGCTAAGCACTGACATTTATGTGTATGGAAGTGCAGGTAATAATTTAGTATGGAATAAGTTTTCAAAGTCAATGCTTGATGGTTTGCCCCCGCAAAACACATGTTCTATTCACATTCAAAATACATCTGGTATACATTATGATGTTGTTCTTGATGTAGTTCTAAATGCAAGTTCAGATACACAGAATTTATGTAAAAAAAGAAAAGGTATTGACTGTTCATCTGATACACATTTTTCAAGTAAAAAACATGTGAACAAGTGTTTTAAATTGAAACAAACATCTGATGCTTGCCCATTTCCAAGTAAGTTGTCAAAATATGAGCCGAATGTCAATATGCAAGAAGGTTGTGTGTTGTCTGCAGGTCCTTTCAGTAGTGAGCATAGTATTTCTAGCAGTGAAGTATCTAAAAAAACACAAAACCTTAAACAACACCATGTCATTGGTTTAGGAAGTTACAGAGCGAACCTTAAATTGTTCCATGACTCAATGCAATACACTACTATTCAGTGTTCTGAATGTTTTGAAGCATGGCCTGTAAAAATCAAACCAAAAATCTAGCACTAATTATGTTTGCCGCAGATGCAAAAGTGACAAAAAAATTCCAAGGAAATTCTCTGCTCAAAATAATATGACTCCCTCAAGTGTGCCAGATGAGCTGGAGGGCTTAACTCAAATTGAAGAGATGCTAATTGCCAGAGCACTTCCCATAATGCGAGTTTATGTAAAACCTGGTGGTCAAAGAGGATATATTGGACATTGTATAAATTTGCCCCAAAAAGTGTCAGAGCTTGCTAATTCTCTTCCTCGTATTCCTTCTGACATCCCAATTGTAGTTGTTACCATGAAAGGGAAGGACCATGCTATAAAAGATGTTTTAGTTAGGAGGCATAAAGTTGAGCAAGCATTATATTGGTTATTAAAACATAATCCACAATACAGATGTGTAACTATTGATTCAAATGCATTAGAATCATTACCAAGTAATGGTATTCCTTCTAACATACCAACAATAGAAACACTAGACGACCCAGATGCAGTTGATGATCAGGAAACAGATACAATTTTAACTGGAGAGGAAGTAGTTAACTGTGATAAAGAAACAAATAGCTTTCTCCCACTCTCTAAAAATGACTGTTTAGAAAAGGAAGCAATAAAAAGAACTGTTAATAACTCTAAAATAAATTGGCCTTCAATTGATGATCAGCTATTAAGTGAGTATAAAACACCATTTCTTGCCACACTTGCTTTTCCTACACTTTTTCCAGATGGAAATGGTGATCCAACTAATCCATGTTTGCAAAGAGACATACCTTTTAGTAATCGAATTCAACATCTTTTGAAATATTCTGAATATGTTGATGGTACCTGGCTATACAGGTTCTCTTCTCACCCCAGGTTTTCATATTGGGCCCTAAATATGATTCAAAGAAAACGTGCTATTCAACAAACTTCCATTTTCCTCAAACAAAATCCTGATCAGTCTCACCTTACAGTGGAAGAATTGCAAGAAATGGCTAGTAATAACAATTCATCAACTTTTATGTCAAAACTTTCTAGATATGTAGCAAATGTCACTAGCAGTTCTGCATATTGGTTTAAAGTTAAGGAGGATTTAAAGGCAATCATTGTAGAAAAAGGTTCCCCAACAATATTTTTCACATTATCATCTGCAGGTCTTTACTGGCCTGAGTTGCACTCCCTTTTTTCTTCAAATGTTGACAATCTAAGTAGAGAGGACAAACGGAAGAATGTCATTGACAATCCTCATTTAGTTGACTAAATTAAAGATTGAACCAGTGAATACCAAAGACGGCAGTGTAAAATACAAGGCTACTATAGTGACTGCAAGAAATGATCCTAGATTAAATAGTCATCAGAAAATTCAACTTTTAGGCTGGAGAGCAAACTGTGATATGCAAGTTATATTAGATTACCATGCATGTGTTGAATATTTATGCAAGTATGCTGCCAAAGGTGAACCCAGATCTAACACATTGAAAAATGCCTTTCGCACTGTAGTAGGTAATTTAAAAACAAATACAGATCAATCCAAGGTAATGAAAAAAATTATGATAAAAGCACTTGGGGAACGAGATTTTAGTGCACAGGAAACCATGCATCTATTACATTGCATTTATTTCACTGAAATTGCACAGTTCTTCATTTCAAGTTTTGTCAGTCAAACAGTCATCAAAAATCGTTCCACGCTTTTTCCCTTGTTACTCTCCAAACTCAAAAGGAGTGAATTATCCTCTATATTGCAAATATCAGCTTTTAAAATACAAACCTTGGGAAAACTCTCAAAATCAAGCATGGAATTGTGAAACACCCTCAGACACTGCCTATGTCAATTGTTGGCTTGAATTTTTAAACTCTCCTATTGCAAATAATTATGTACCAAATTGGGAAACACATGCAAAATGTTTTAGATAATGTTGTCCAAGATTATAATGGTAATGATAACTGTAGTAATGAACATGAAAATCTTCCCCAAGAGGAATGGATGATTTTGTCTAATTATCATGAACTTCAAGGTACACATCAGCACTCTGAAAAATCATACAATTGGCAATTAGACTCAACAAAGTACACTATTGAGCAAATTGCTTCTATGACTAAATGGGTTACCAACCAAAAGGCTGATTATATTGTTGCAGCAAGAGACTATCAAGTAGACACAACAACATTAAATAATAAGCAACAATTAGCTTATGACATCATTGTTAACCACCACAGCAAAACAATGGCCAAAGAACAACTTTTATTAATTATAATTGGTGAAGGTGGAACTGGAAAAAGTTATTTAATAAATGCAATTCAAAATAATTTAAAGGATAGTTGTGTTGTAACAGCAACAACTGGAAAAGCTGCTTTTAATATAAATGGCATAACCATCCACTCATGTTTAAAACTGCCTATAGGCAAAATGTCTCAGAAAGATTTATCTGGACAAAGCTTGCACACACTACAAGAAAACTTATTGTCTGTTGAGTACATTATAATCTATGCTCGGTCAAACAACCTTAGGGTGGATTGACAGACGTTGTAGACAAGCTACTGGTTTGAAAGATAGCTTATTTGGTGGCAAGTCTATAATTCTGATTGGTGACCCTGGGCAATTACCACCAGTTGGAGTCAAACCATTGTACCATGATAAACCATCTAATCCAATAGCTGAACAAGGCTATCTAGCATATAAAATGTTTGATAATGTTGTGGTACTTGATGTTAATGAGAGAGTAAGTGGTAATGAAAGTGAACAAAGTAGATTTAAAGGCCTTTTATCAAGACTTCAAACAGGAGACATAAGTTTAAATGACTGGAAATTACTTCTCACTCGTCAACCAAGTGTTGTGTCTAACACTCATGATTTTTCAAGTGCAACAAGGTTGTATTTTAGCAATGAAGAAGTAGCAAAATACAATTATGATCACTTAGTTAAGTTAAGAACACCAATCGCTGAAATCCAAGCTCAACATTCCAGTAATGATGCTAAACATGTTGGTTCCCAAGATATGCTTGGTTTGCACCCATTTATTTTGATTTCCAAAGGAGCAAGAGTAATGTTAACAATGAATTTATGAGCATCTGTGGGTCAATGTAATGGCTCAACAAGAACCATTGTTAATATAATTTATGCAGGCAACCATGCTCCACCTGACTTGCCTATTGCTGTTATGGTAAAATTTGACAACTATCATGGGCCTTCATTTTCAAATATGCCTTCTTGTGTTCCTATTCCACCAGTGACTGCCACTGTAAGAGTTGAAAATAGCATACTTGAAAGACAGCAATTACCTTTAACACTCGACTTTGGACAAAGCATGGATTGATGTGGGAAAAAAAGAGACCACTCTAGGAATTACTTATGTTGGAATAAGTCGTGTTCAAAATTTATCATCACTAATAATATAACCAATGACGTTTGATAGACTTGCCTCTATAAAAAAATTCAATCATTGCAATACAGGTTGCAAGAGGAAAAAAGACTCCAAGGAATTGCCAACTTCACTAACATATAATTCTGTTTGTGTTTCTTATTTTTGAATGATTTTATTACATATATTAGCAAACGATTTATATTAGATTTCTTATATAGAATTAGAGAAGATTCAATTTGTTTTTATTTGGAAGACCATGGATTTAATAAGTGGTATGTACGACTGGCTTTTTACTACAATGTTTTAACAACAAGATACACTGTAAATGTGTTTGATCAATACATTTAACATGTTTTTAACACTGATTTTCACTTCACTACCAAGCCGATTTTGAACCATCACTATCAGATGCGGAGCTTGATGACATTGAAATGAGAGCCACTGAACAGATAAAGGCCACCAAAGTTAATGGTAAGAATTAAAAAATACCGTAGTTAGTAAGTGTGGGCAAGCAATGTTAATGACTTGCACTCACTTTCAAACATAAAAATCTGTAATATTCAAATAAAAAAACAGGACTCCTATGCATCTCCCCTCTCTCATTTCTTGTCTCACACAGTTTAGAACACTACCTACTTTTTTGCTAACTAAAATATTGATAACTTTCAAAGTAACATTAAATGTATAATACTTTTTGTGGAAACACCACGTAAAATATATAATATTTTGAGTTATTAACAATTCATTTTTACTTGACCTTCAAGCTGACAATGAGCTTGAAGCCTCATTCGAAATGAAAGCCACTACAACCAAAGGTGAAATTTAATATTATTTGTGCATTACGTTTCTTACATACACTTCTTCTTCTCATATCGACCTCCTACATTCCCTCTGATGACAGGAGCAATGTCCCTTTGAGATGCAATTGTTAGATAATTGTAACCAAACTGCTGTGCAGTTGGGTTATCTGACCTTCGGCCTTGTTCCCTTTGGTGGCCAAAATAATCTTCAACAACATCTTGCATGAACCGTTCCGTGAGCACATATTGAAAACCTTCCTGGAGAAGGAATTGGATTGCTTCAACATGTGAATATGCAGAGATCTTGAATCCTTCAAATGTTTGGGCAGAGAGAAACATCCTTCCACCTTGTTCAGCTGTATATTCACCTTCAAGGGTCAAAGTACTTAGCTGCCAATCTTCCAAGTACTTTATGAAGACATCTTTAAGCCATGATCATCTTTCATCATCTACAGAGTGTAAGGCTTGATGAAATCATTTCTCTTTCGTACATGCTCTGTCTTTGACCTGACATTTGTACAGTCAAAAAAATTGTTCATCATCTCACAAAAATGGGCAGTTTCAAGGACATCTGGTTTTCACTTTCTCTTAATGCTATTGCCACTGACTTACTGAGAACTTGGGTTGCCAGCTTGACCTTCATCTTACTATATGGAGTAAGAACAACATGCTCCATGGTTAACTTGGGAACCACATGCAGACCAAACTCCTGGTCACTGTAAAACAAATCTGCTACATGTTAAAATAGCAAGTAATGACCATTGTTCCCAGGGGCGAAGCGAGTGTCATTGTTTTGGGGGGGTGCACGACCGCATTTTGCCGATAAAAGGGCGTGGCTAAGTGCGCAATTAGGGCGTGGTCGAAGGTGATATAAAAGGCAATAACTCCCAAGTAAAATATTTTATTCATGTGATTCCTAAATTTAAAACTTCTAAAATGTTGAAACGTGTGTGCATTTTATAAAATTTCCCACTACAGTATATACAGACATACAGTTCTAGTCTTCTCTATGATATGGAAATGGAGACCCGACGTTGTTTTAAAGCTGCCCAAGCTGTAGCCATTCGGGAAATGCTTATGCTATCTGTGATATCTTTTTCACAAGCCATTAGTAGCAGTTCTTCCAGTCGTTCATCGCGCATCGTTGATCTGCACAGGGTTTTCACAAGCTTTAACTTGCCATCATCATCACAATCTGCTGGAAATTTCCTTCTTTGTCATCTCCGTGACCTCTAAACGCGATACTTTGGCGTCCGAGTGTTTTCGTTACGTCGAGCAGTATCTCAACAATCTTCCTGTTGTGGATTAGGTCTTCCTCTTCCTGGATGAGAGCCTGACGTCTGGCCTTAGAAAGCAGTACATCGACGTGTCCAGACGTTTTCACAAAATTTGCATACGCCAGGACGGCACTTTTGTGACTCGTAGATGAGAAGTGTGTTGCTAACTTCCCAGGCTTCGCCTTCCCACAGCTCTTAAATTTATGCCATGTGCGCACTCCTTCTGTACTCCAAGCACTTTCCGCTTTCTCCATCCCTGGACCACTGCTAAACAGAGAACATACAAAGCAAAAGGCAGCATCTTTTGATATGCTATATTCCAGGTGAGGGTAATCTTTGTACCAGGATGGATTAAACCTGGACTGCTTGTGGCCTTCTCTCATAACGTCGGAGGCACTTGGGTTGGTTGGATATGCCTGTAAATGCGGTTGATTCGGACCGATTTGTATCAGGTACGTTTTTTGACTGTCTGTCAGATGCCTTGATCGCAATGCAGGATCCAATGGTGGAATTGCAGGGGAAAAATAATTCTCATTGCTATCTTCGAGTGTCATCTTCTCCTTTTCAATGTTTTTGAGAACTTGAGATGATCTTTTAACAAGCTCGCTTGCAGTTTCCCTAACTTGATCAGCAGTTTCGACCACTTTGCTCAGAAAATGTTCCTGATTGGGATTATCAGCCGATGCAACTTCGTCCATAATTCCTTCAACGTTACGAAGTTGAAACTTGAGATAATGAAGCAACCCTGCGCACTGAAGCCATGTGATGTTACCATCGCCCTCGCTTACTTCGGTCTCTTTGTTCACGTCTTCCACGGTATAGCTCTCGACTGTTTCGTCTTTGTGTGATTTGTCACTTTCGCTTCCTGATGCCTAATTCAATATTATTGAAAATTCAAAACGTTGAGAGCTATTTACAAATATTTCATAACAAATATGGAAAAAGTTAATTGGATAAATTTAGTTAGACTTGAAAGATAAAAAAGTTACCTTTGAAGAAAGTACTGCTGTGTCAACATTATGTGATTTTGAGGGTTGGGAATCTTTCTCGGCAACACTTTCGCCTGCGGAAACAGTCAACGTCTCCAAAGGGGCACCAGAGCTTTCCGGATCATTCTTTGTCTGTGATACCTATAGTTATCACACATTGGAGGTTTTAAACTTAAATGTTCCTTTGAGGTTATTACTAATTAATATGTTTGTGGGGAGCTAGAAATATGGTATTTAAAAAACAGCCTTACCTTTTCCTTATGTATCTGTGCCGCCAAGACAAACGGGTTTGCGGGAGCACCGGCCACTTTATAAGATATTGATTTCCCTGCCTTTAACAAATCATCGTGGTATTTCTTGTTGTGTTCATTTCGGTAATCATCATCAAACGACCGATTACAGACTAAACATGTCAGTTTCTCTCGCTTCCGTTTGCGTTTACCTTTGCTACTCTCCATTCATTCAGTTTGTTTTATTCGTTTACCTTTTTAATTTCGCAAATTCGTGTATATAATAAAGTATAAACATTCCCAAAGCAAATGACGCGCAGATGAGTGTTGTGTTTTGTATGCTATATCATGTTTCATAGCGCAACTTTCATATACGTAATATGATATATCTTATTGCAGCGTACGGACCGCAGGTGGCGCTGCGAAAAGTCAAATGTGCCCGCAACTGGCACTGAACTGTCGCGCAATGGCGCAAGCCTGAATCTTCAGAACCCGAGGCCGAACAAACAATTCATTTCTTCATTTTCAAGTATTTTCCGATGCATTCAAATTACTTGTACGAAATTACAAATCAGTAAAATTCATTTTATTTTTGTGCCGACAGTTGCCTTATTTTGCCGACAAGCACGGCATTGGGGGGGTGCAGCACCCCCCCGCACCCCCCCGTAGCTACGCCCCTGAATAAAGTATAAACATTCCCAAAGCAAATGACGCGCAGATGAGTGTTGTGTTTTGTATGCTATATCATGTTTCATAGCGCAACTTTCATATACGTAATATGATATATCTTATTGCAGCGTACGGACCGCAGGTGGCGCTGCGAAAAGTCAAATGTGCCCGCAACTGGCACTGAACTGTCGCGCAATGGCGCAAGCCTGAATCTTCAGAACCCGAGGCCGAACAAACAATTCATTTCTTCATTTTCAAGTATTTTCCGATGCATTCAAATTACTTGTACGAAATTACAAATCAGTAAAATTCATTTTATTTTTGTGCCGACAGTTGCCTTATTTTGCCGACAAGCACGGCATTGGGGGGGTGCAGCACCCCCCCGCACCCCCCCGTAGCTACGCCCCTGATTGTTCCACATATAACGACTGGATGAGTCTAATCCAGAGTTATAAAGGCAGTTCCGTGCAGTCTTCATCAGATGAGGAGAGTCTGCAAAGAAGTATATAAAACGATCGATTATAAATATTTGTTGTTTTATATACTACGTCGCAATCCAAGCCAGAAACCAAATTTAAATGAAGGCGAAAGAACTTTCGATTGGGAGACGCTCCATCATTAACTGCAGCACAAACCCAGAGATTAACAAACAACTTCAAAACAGAGACAATTTGCCAGAACAGAGGCATCAGCTGGAACAAGGAATCATTTCCTGTGAAGAAATATGCAATGACATTTTGAGGTCAGTGCATAATCCCCTCACAAGAAATGCTAACGCATGTGTTGCAACTGGATCCTCCTCTTCTATATTGGCAAAGGTCGTCATTGGGTCTCCAAGGTCAATGAATCCAATGAGTTCTCCAGACACTTTATCGAACACAAGGTTTGACTGGATCTTCATTTCATCCATTACAACCACCACATATCTTTGCGTTGGAGAAAACGAGAAGGCCTTTTCTTTCAGGGTTGCCACATTTTCTTGATGGATTCCTATTGAGGGGGAATCAATAGGCCTAACATTAGAGCATGCTATACATTACCCATGCACACATTCAACAATATTTTCAATTCAGACGAGATGATCTGGAAATGCAGAAAACTACTGAAAATAGTTGTCAAATAGAAATCCATTTCTCAATCAAAACCACTTAACATATGTCCAAATATGCTTTATTTTAGTTCCAAATTTATATCTGAGCTATAGTTCTCATAACTAAACATAATTAGAATATTTTGAGTAGTACCATAAAAAACACCAAAAGAAATAATCAATTATATACTGTAAATGATACCAAAAAAACCTTGGTCAGAAATAACTTGCATAACATTTATAATTTGCACATTCCTCCACAAAATAAAAAAATAATTACAAAACGATTACCTGCTTTAGGTTTAAAATAATTATTGTAATCCTTCAATACTCTCTCACTTGGAAGTACAAGAGCACCACTGTCTCTCAACTTCCCGTAAGCGGATGGTGATTTACCATAGATTGACAATGCAAATCGAATTACTTGAGGATGGTACCTTCTACCCATTTTCTTGCTTTGCAATAATTTCATCTGCTCTCCCCAAAAAAATTTCATGTGAGGTGTAGTATTGAGGTTGCATGTGGCCTCCCATAATTGTGAGAAGGTCCTTCTCTAAGGAATCATTCACACCAATGCCATTTTTTTTCACACTTGAAGATGCTCAAGACGTGCTTCCAGCTGCTTGCATTGCAATCTTGTTGCCATAACAGTAGCACGCAACTTCGCTGGACCGCAGGCCGCTAGGGATGCTTTTGGCTTTGCTGGACTCGGCGAAGCTCTTGGTCTTTTCTTCTCTGCTCTATGTATATCATTGCTAGCATTAACACAGGATGTGCACATCTGTGTGGTACTTGTATTTTCCAAGAGAATATCACAGGACACACACCGAAGGTAAAGAGAAATTTCAAAGTGTTCTTTATCAAGGGTGAACAACTTTGGCACAGAATGATGCGGGATAGACTTTGTAGATGTTGGTGGGCTTTGTGTGGGGTCGACAGCCACAGATTTTACATGCGTGTCTTGTTCCAAACCTTTGCAAATCTTGAAGTTGACGAAAAAATCAACAGTTCCACATTGTTATTGTATTTCATTAAACGCTTTCGTTCCTGGTAGACAGCATGATCCTCTGGGATTGGCCAATTGTAAACAAAAACAGAAAACTGAAGAACAGAATCAACAACAATGCAGAACTTGGGGACACAGTGCACATTGTCATAAAAATTGAACCTCAGCTCTCCTTCCCGCGATTTATCAACTTGCCATGGATCCATCTCTAATTCATTAACAAGAGATGAAAGACTCTCCATACTTGTCAGCTTTGGCTCAGCTTGTGTTGATACAGCAGACAATGAGGCTGAAGAGCATGGCTCGTCAACATTGTCCTTGTAAGCCAGAACATTGCGTTCTTTTTTGGCAATGTTGTGGCTCTTTTGTGGCAAATTCTCTGTTGGTACGCAACCAGTAACCAATACCTTCTGTGTAGGACCTGAAATATTCATGTTTCATTCAGTTTTGAACACACTGATTAGGCCAATGCATAATTCATAAGACTGTCCAATAAGCGCAAGAACGTGCAATTTATGATAAACTATACTTACCATTCAAGATACATTCCTCTTTAAAATGCCTCTCGCAAATGTATAATCTGTTCGCATCGATTCTTTTCTTCAAATCCAGAGTCATTTCTCTTGTTCTAAGAACCAAACGAAGAGGTCGAAGGAGATTAGTTGAAGAAGGCAACTATCAACAACGAATTCTCATCCAAGTTAGCGACTTGATCAATCCCTTCAATTTGCAGTCGCTCTGCATTCCCAACATCCAAACTTTTGTTGATATTAACAAAAAATATTGTCCAGTTCAACGGTGTAGAAAAAAAGTGAGGTCCAACAGTGCCGAAATCAGAAGATATGAAATTGACACTGTATAGTATGCAAATTTCATACAATTGATAAAAGAAACCCGCTCAATTTTCAACAGTCTGAAATTTCATGTAAACAGAAGTAATAGGTGGCAAACGTCATGTAAAAGATGTATAATAATAGTTAACGATGTAAACAAAACATCTGAGTGTGCAAAACTGACTTGACTGCCACTTTAAATACAGAGATATCTTTTTGGACAATACTGTAAAAGGCCTTCAAGAAATACCATTTATAGACTATGGGGACTTACTGTATGGTGCAAAGAATTTAATTTGAGCCAATCCTGCACATTATTTCAAACAAAATTCATAATATTTTTTGGTGTTATTGTTTAACTAAAGATTTTTAGATCTGTTTATGCCAAGATATAAAAGTAAATTTACAAATTAAACGAGACTTACCAAAGTCGATGTTTGATTGTAATTTTTGCTCGTCACCAGTCAGGAACGAAGGAGTTACATGAGAAGCACAAGTGTGCCCATTCAGTCAATCTTCACAGTGAATGTTACCAGCAAAAGGAATGAAGAAGATGGGAGGGAAAAGGGAGGGCATGTAACTCCTTCGTTCCTACCTTCCTGAACAACGCCAATAATGGATATAAACAAAATTAACAATCTAAACGATTTAGCATTCATTGTTTTGCATTTTATAATGTTCTATAATGTTAGTACTAAAGTTCTTTCCGATAGGCTTTTTTTAGTACTTTGCAAAAGGTTTTTGCATTCGATCAACCCCCGGCTTTAAGTATTTCTTGCAGTATCAACCCCCCATTCATTCCATAAGACGTCGATGCTGGCCCATTCATTCCATAAGACGTCGATTCTGGCCTACCGCTATTTCAAGAAAATGTGGTCACATTAACACCCGCTTCTTTTAAAACAGATTTTATCCACTTGCTGATTGTGCTACTCCCAACTGGCTGATGTGGTTTGAAAAAGCTGATTAGTAATTTAGAATGTTCTCCCCTTAAAGTACTAGTTCTCTCAAGGTAGTTCCTTAAATGTGACACAACACATAAGCTTTCATTTGGAGTGTGAGTTTCTAGATGTATTGGGTAGAAGGTGTTTACCAGGTTTAGTGGTTTTTTAATTTCTCCCCAATAGCAAAAATGTGCTTTTTTGGTGACTCTTGCATACATTTTATATCCAGTAGTGTAAGGGTTTGTCAGCGCTGTCCTGTCAGCAAGCCCAGCAACGTATTCAGCTTTTTGGAAAGTGTTTATAAATCTAACCCTGGGGCTGGTCCTAAAGTTTCTAAGTATTTCAGAACATTCCCAACATCCCATATATGAGAATACCTGGGTAACAAAGCTTAAGTTCAAAAACACCTTTTAATAACCGTACTACCAGGGGATGATTTCCAAATGTGCCATGATCGGACGTGTGGATGAGCATTGACGAAGCGGAACGAGCAGTGTTTTGTCTCACTATATCCCATACCTTTGTGGTATAGCGATGCCAAAAAGTCTACGCCATTTCCAACTGTTGCATTGCCGTGATCAATGTAGTTTGGTACTACACAAATGCCACTTGCTCTGTCTTCTTGTATCTTCCTCAGTACTAATGGTAACAAACTAAAAGGCAGGAAGGCATAAAAATCATGTTGCGCCCAGTCCAATGTAAATGCATCAATCCCAATTGCTCCTGCGTCTGGTCTATATGCCACATAGGAATCAAATTGGGCGTTAAGTCTAGTTGCAAAAAGATCAATATCTGTGGTGCATCCTAATGCTTTTAGAGCTTTTACTAAAATCTCTTTTTCAAGCATCCACTCAGATTGTGATCTATTCTTCCTAGATTCACGATCTGCTTTTGTGTTTGATCTTCCGGCTATGTGGGCTGCACTAATCCATATACTTCGCGAGGTGCACCAGTCCCAGATCTGCTTTGCTAAATCATTAAGCACGCAAGAATGACTGGTACCGATATGGTTGATGACAGCTACCGCTGTTGTCAACCATCAAGCGTACATGTGTATCATGGTGTTTTTTGGAAATATGCTTTCAGCCCTAGGAACACCGCTAAAAGTTCTAAGTAGTTGATGTGGAACTGTTTCTCGTATCCAGACCACAATCCTCCCATAGAGCTATTTGCTGTCACTGCCCCCCAACCTTTATGTGATGCATCTGTTGTCAGGTTGAAAGAGGGGCCTGCCCTGGACATGAAATTTTTAGACTCTAAAACGTGGTAGGTCCACCAAATTAATTCCTGTTTAGCTTCAACCGATAGTGTCATATGCTTGTCAAAATTTCCCTTGTGTGTTTGTAGGGCAGTAGTTTTATCATGTTCTAATAGACGGTAATGCAATGGCCCATACATTACTCCCAAAATGACGCTACAATTTTACCAATCACACACGCAATTTCCCTAATAGTGGGTGATTGTCTCTCAAGCAACTTAGTAGCTTTGCTATGGGCTAAAATAACTGTCATATCAACCGAGTTCGAAACAAAGCCAAGAATCTCAAGCTGCTGTGCAGAATTAAACATCAATTTTGTAGGATGGGTGATTAAGCCCAAGGCGTCAAAATTGGCTAACTGTGTCTATGACATTATTTACGCATTTTTTATATGTTTTGCCCTGCAAATATATATTGTCAATATAGCCACTTGTTATGTGGCCCTTTATATGTAATTCGCTAAGAGCAGGCTTCAGTAGCTTTGTAAATTTGCGCAGTGCGCAAGATAATCTGTTTGGCATGCAAATGAACCGATATAACTGCTCTCCCCAGACAAAACACAGATATGCCCAGTGCTGCTTTGCAACAGGAACCGAATAGTATGCGTCTTTCAAGTCTAAGCAAGCCATGAAACAATATTTTTCAACTAATCGTACAATTGTGGTTAACGTGTCTATTTTAAAATGGTGTTAATCAGAATTTTTAATGCATTCTAGATATAAAGCACACTACAGTAAAAGGACAAAGCAATGGTGCCCAGTTGCAGTCCTTGAGCCAAAGGAATACAAATATTTGCCAGAATTAATCACTGCAATATTTGAAGAATGAAGAGCAACACCTGCCCATGTAACACAGCGATTAGGTCTTGCTCCAGATGACCCACGGAACATTGTCAGAAATATTGCTGTCATACCCCAGCCTCTGATGAAAGAGCTTCTGAGACGACACCAAACAAGGTCTATATACACTGGCGGTCAAAAAGAACTGCTCAAATGTTGCTATTATCGTATGTAACAGGAATCGTGACAATCCATCTTTTATTGTACACTATAGCGGTCAAAAAGAACTGTTTAGATACAAATTCATAAAAAGGACCAAACATAGGAGAGAGCTTCATAGGCATTTGTATAATTCTCTTATTCCAAACAATATTTCAATAATTTAATACAACCTGCCACACTTCCAAGATACAGTAAAACAATGGTTTCAGGAAGAGGGAGTGACAGAAATGGATTGGCCTGCACAGTCAAAAGACCTTAACCCTATTGAAAATCTGTGGGACAATGTCAAGGAGATAGTGCAAGAAAGGAATTCATTCATAAAGTGTCCATGGACAGTTTTTACAGCAATGCATAAATCATAGGATAAATTTATTTTGACCGTGAAGATTACCACCTTAACAGGAAG